AAATCACCCTAGCACTCCAATTAGTAAAATTAAAAATGAGCTGGGTGGAGTCAGGGTCAGGACATTACCATATTCCTCTAAAAAACCCACCCAACATGCCTCCTGGTTACCATGCAAATCAGCTCAGGAACTAGACTAAAAAGAGTCATGTGGATCTGGTAAACTTTGCCCTATTTCCCCCCTAGCAACCAAAATTGTGTACTGCCTACATAAACAGTTCTGCTCAATGATAATAGTGTGGGGTAGTCATTTAAAAGCATAGAATCAAAAAGTTTTGTTAATATCCTTCTTGTACTGAGAAAAGCTGAGCTCAGGAAAACATCAATGCTTCACATAAGCTCACCTAGCATGTCAGCAATAGAAGAATAAACAGGACTCAAATTGTGGCCTTTGATATCCTTGTACCTCTACCAACCAAGTTTGACACAATTCTTGCCATTATAATATACTCTTTAAGAATTCCTGTATCAGGGCAGCTAGATGGTGCAGTGGATAGAGCACCAGCCCTGGAGTCAGGAGGACCTGAATTCAAATCCAGCCTCAGACACATAACACTTACTAGCTGTGTGACTCTGGGCAAGTCACTTAACCAGCAATTGCCTAACCAAAAAAAAATGCATAAAGTACAAAAACATTTTTAAAAAAAGAATTCTTCTATTGCTGTCTTTTATATCTACCATCAATGGCTGGACCCAGTGCCACAATGCAGGTTTTTGTGAGGACTTTGAGGGGAAGACCATCACCCTTGAGGTCGAACCATCCAATGCTATTGAAAATGTCAAGGCCAAGATACAAGATAAGGAAGGTATTCCCCCTGATCAACAAAGACTGATTTTTTTGGGCAAGCAACTGGATGATGGACGAACTTTGTCTGACTACAACATGCAGAAGGAGTCTACCCTTCATCTTGTTCTGAGGCTTTGTGGTGGTGCCAAGAAGAGAAAGAAGTCTTATACCACTCCCAAAAAGAACAAGCATAAGAGAAAGAAGGTTAAGCTTGCTGTTTTGAAGTACTGTAAGGTTGATGAGAATGGCAAGATTAGCCATCTTCGACGAGAGTGCCCTTCTGATGCATGTGGTGCTGGGGTCTTTGTGACTAGCCATTTTGACAGACATTATTGTGACAAGTGTTGTCTAACCTACTACTTCAACAAGCCAGAAGACAAGTAAATGTATAAGTGTTAATTTAGAAACATCAACTATAAAAAAAAAGAATTCCTCTATCAAAGACCACATCATGGCCCCCATGAAGTGGCTGGACATTTGCTTAATTCGCCATACCACATGGATCACCCATAGATTTCTGTTTGTCTCTCACTGTTCAAGAAAACTTGCAGTTTCTTCCTGGGGATATTTCAAGAACTTATGCAATTCTCCATCCCCCAATCTCCTCAACTTTTTTTCTGTATGAAACAAAAGAGAGAATAAAGAAGAAAGGAAAGAAGGAGAAAAAAACAAAGAGTGAGAAAGTAAGAGAGAGAGAAAAGGGAAAACAAAGCTAATGAAATATAAAGGACTTCAAATATAATGATGATGGGGGGATCCTAATAATTCGGAGGAAGAGGAGAATCCTTTGTGATCCTGCATCCTTTCACACAATACAAATATCCCTCACTGGGCTCTATAACATGCATTTTAGAATGCTGAGACCTCCTATCATAGCTCTAACCTAAAGGCAGCATGCTAAGCATTGGAAAATAAAGAAAGGCAAAACACAAAACAAAAAACAAATAACCCTCCGCTCTAGAGGAGCTCACATTTTAATGGAGGATGCAGCAGCTTTCTCCTCACTGGAAGTCCTCAAGCAGAAAAAATGGAATGAAACACTTGGTGAGCATGTTGTAGAGAGATATTGGATCTGGTATGGGTTAGACTTGCTGCATCTAAAGAGTCTTCCACTTCTGTTAGTCTATGATTCTGAGAGACTATGGTATTTCCGAGTTAATGTGGCTTCAATGATGTGCCTTTTTTCATACCACCAGGTATCTGTCTTCCAACAAATTCAGATAGCACACAGCTGATCATGGCATCATTAAGAGGAAATCATGTGAACAATTAAAACATACCCTGAATAAATTGCTTTGTGTCAATTTTCCATCCCACTACCCTCTACTCTTCTGCTCCCTTGCCTCCTCTGTATGCACAAACTCTGGGTGCAGTGGGGAGTGAGCCTATAGGGACATTTAAAGCATAGGCACATCCATTTACACATGGAAGAATGGAATAGATTAGTTCTCCTTCTGGGTTACATCTCAGGAAGTTCTCAACAATGACATCTCATTAGCTTATACCTACCCATAACCAGAATTGCAGCTAGAAAAATCAGCACAGTCTTTTTAAAACTATAATAATTCATTTTATTTTTAATTTATGGAATAAAATAAGCATTTCCATAACATACTATAATAAAAAGATGATTGCACATGAAACTGCAAATCTATCATTTACAACTTGCTATTCCTTTAAAATATACAATAAAGTTATCATATAAATTTCTTTTTTTTTCCCTTTTTTTTTCTTCCTTCCCTCCCTCAAACATAAAGATGGATCATCAGAATCTTGAAAGAATCACAGCTGGAGAGTTACAATGAAAGAGACCTTAAAGGTCATCTAGTCTCATTTCCTCATTTGATAGATGGAGAAAATGAGAGCCCAAGAAGGTAAGTGACTTGCCTAAGATCCACACAGGTAATTAGTGACAGAATCAGAGATGAGGGAGAGGGGACAGAAATGGGGAGAGAGACAGAGACATAGAGATAGAGATAGAGACAGAAAGACAGACAGAGAGGGAGAGAGAGAAGGATGGAGAGGGAGAAAGAGAGGAACAGGAAGAGAAGAGAGAGAAAAAGAGGAAGGAAGGAAGGAAGGAAGGAAGGAAGGAAGGAAGGATGAAAGAGAAGAGGGGAAGGGGGAGGAGACAGAGATACTTTCTAATGAGATTTTGGGGTATTTTTATCTGAAATGGGAAGTTCATTTTGTCCAGGGCAAATTGATATGAACCCCAAAGGAAGGACACCATCTTGGAATTCTATACCTGGGAAGACTGTAGATTGCTTAGATATTCGAGCCCTAAGACATTTAAGACTTCATAACCAGTCAGAGTGAAACTTATGTAGTTTACATACACAGGGTGGCCATTATGGTCTTAGAGGTGCTGATGAGACAGAGTGAAGATGGCAGATACTTAATCATCCCATCTCCTTTAAGTTAAGACAGTAGACAATTTATTTTTAGCTATGTTTTTTTTTACCTTCTCTCTCCCTATCATACCTGTGTATTCAGTTGGAAAATTGCTTGCCCAAGCAAAGTACATTAACATCTCACAAGTCTTCCGGTTGCGTCTCTGTTGATTCCTCTATAGAAATGAGCAAGTCTCCAAAAGTAGCCAGTACCAAATCGGCCATAAGATAAGCTGACTGCTTTGGAGTAATGGCTGGAGGGAAGAAGATGACCTTCTCCTTCTTTTTCATGTCTATTGGAGATGAAGGATGCTTCTATTTATGTGCAGACAAATTCTATTATAATTAAGACTTAGGAACTCTCCAACTTTTTATTGAGGTCCTGCTATACGGCTATATTGAACTGAACACTGGTTAGGCTTAGGAATGGGTAGTATTACTTAGTGAATACCAAGTAGGGATTGGGATCAAGATGACCTGGGTCTAAATCCTGTCTCTTCCATTTATTAGCTGTTTGATGCTAGGCAAGTCAGTTTACCTCTACCTCAATTTCCTCTTATGTAAATTTAGGAGGTTAGAGTCAATGACTTCTTAGGTTCCTTTCAACTATAATCCTATGACTATTAGCAAGTTATTGCAACTCTCTGGGCCTCAGTTTCCTCATCTGTAAATTATAGTAATTATTTCACAGGTTGTTGTGAAGCTCAAATAAGATAATATATGGAAAACACTTCACAGACATTAAAGTATCATACAAGCATCAGTTACTGTGATTTACTGTAACATTGTGTGTTATGGTATCAGTCTGTAAGTACCTCAGGATGTGATTTTCAACAGCCTCAAATTCTATCAAGCACATTCTCCCTTTGGGTCTCTGATACTGAAAGAAGAGGTGTAAAATGAATCCTGGGATCATGGGACCCTGAGCCAGAGAAAGGTTCAATCCACAATCTTCTACTTCATCCCTATTTTACAGATGAGGAAACTGAGATTCAAAGAGTTTAAGTGATTGTCCAAGGTCACAGAGCCAGTAAGCAGCAGAGGCAAGACTCAAACCCCATCATCTTTCTGACTCCAAATCAAATGTTCTTCCTACTACTCTACATGACTTCATGCTCATGCTGCTAGGAGAATTTTTCTGTAACTATGCTGTGAATTCTATGAAGTTAACATGACTTACTATATGGTAGTTTCAAGCATCACTCTGCATGCATTTGTATGGCATTATTGTTTGCCTGTTCCCCCCCCTTTAGAATGTGAATTCTTTGAGGAAAGGGATGATTTCTTCCTTTCTTTGCATGCTCATCACTTTTCACAGGCTCTTATACACACAAACATGCACATAGACATTATGTCTGTATGTATATGTGTATGTAAGTGTAGATGAGTGGATAGATAGACAGATAACTTTCTATTGCACAAAAGTCAACTCATGAAGACTTCACAAGAATACCTGGCATTGTGAGATGGCCAGAAAGACATCCAGCTCCTAGCAAATGCCATTTTTATTCCTACTAAACTATAAAGGAAAACAAATAAAATGTCCATTTTTAACAATAGGATCTAAATCTACAAACCAGTGACAGGCAAGAACTGAGTCATCTTCTGGGAGTTGGGAAGCAAGAGCTTATTCACCCAGATGTCCACATCAAAAGCTTGGTTTTATGATGTCAGCTCATGACTCATTGTTGCCTCATTTAGCAGCCCTCCTGTAGGGGCTAGTCCACAGTATTTTAGTGGAGATGATGTATGGTCAATCAGCACAGATCATCTTAAACTTGGTGTGCAATGTTTTCATGCTGTCTCCCCCTTTCCCTTTCACAGAGCTTAGCACAGTGCCTAGAACATAGTAGGAGCTTAATAATGTTTATTGATTAATTGGCTAACTACAGCACAGTGCAGAGAGTGTTGGGTTTAAATGGATACAGAAGCAAATACTGGCTCTGCCAATTGCCACCTATGTGACCTTAGGTAAGTTTGTCAATGTCCCTAGACTTCAGTTCCTCATCTATAAAATGAAGATAACAACACTTAATTACTTCGTACGGTCTGTTGGATTCATCAGACTGCACGGGGTCCATGACACAAAAAAGGGTTAAGAATCTTTGTATAAAATATGGGGGTGGAGGGTCTCAGACCTATGTTTTCATCAGTATGAGAATATTCCAGAATGTGAACTCTCTCCACTAATGAAGTTTTGCAATGTGTTTCCAATTAATAATCTTGGAAAGCTGTCCTGAAAGATTGTATCTTGGCAATGGTCACAGAGCTAGTATGTATCAAAGACAGGACTTCGACCTAGTTTGCCAGATATCTATGTATCCAGTACACTACTCTGTCTATCTCAAGGTATGTGTGTGTGTGTGTACATATATACACATATTTACATATTTGTGTTGCATACATGTGCATATATGTAAATGCATATAAATTCATGTGTAATATAATTGTGTGGATGCTACTTATCTAATATAAATATGTATAGCCCATAAATGGCACAGATGGATATTTGATCTGGGATGTGGACCATCCTGTCTCCAAGGAAGATTCTAATTTTTGCCTTTGTGGGAAGTAAAAGCCAAGGCTAAATAATTGCTTCTGCATTCTCCTATCTTCAAGGAGTTAGAACTATAGCTACCTATGACACATCAAATATTGGCAGTCTAGGGTATGATTCTTCCAGGATTCAGGATAAATGCCATTTTCCCTGATCAACTTCAAGTGGAAGGTCATAGCTTACTCTCGCCAGCTCAGCTCCCTCCCACCAAACACAAAACAATCTGAGAGAATGACTAAACCCATTTTATCCAAACAAATAGTAGGCAGAAATAAGAAGAGTCATGCAAAATACACAACAGTGCGCTAGTTCTTCAGTTTGGAAATGAGATTGAATCGCAGCTTGACCAAGGGAAGAATGATCTCACTTGGTAAATCTGTGCTTAGTAGTCTCTAAGGTTTCAGGCAGTCAAGATCAAGGGGCGGGTGGGGGACCAGTCTCCCCACATGTCTGCAAATACAGGGAGATCTCCCATATACCATTCAATAGTTCACCTTCTCTCTTCCCATCTCTTTTAAACTATTTCTCCATTTCTCTCCAGTTTCTCTGAATTTAAAGTTGCTGCCCAGTTCTTCAAATACACATCAGGTCTCTGAGACAATCAGGAACATCGCACAGGTGACAGTATTGTCCTTCAGGGAACCACCCACTCCATGGTGGAAGAGGGACATGGGGGAGAAGCCGCACATATATGAAAGGTATATTGTAAATATCGCTTTGACTCCCATGGAATCATAGAATTGGAATTGACCTGAGAGATCATCTAATGTATCCTTCTACCTAGTGCAAAAAAACTCTAAAAAATCTCTGACAGATGGTCATTCAGTCACTGTTTAAACTCTTTCAGTAAGAAGTTCACTGTTTTACGAAACAACTAGTTACTTTGTATGATAGTTCTGATTACCAGATGGTTTCCTTATATAAGCCATTTTTACTTGCTCTGAAATTCCCAGAGATTACACTGTGTTCAAAGAAGGGATAATTTGGTAATAGGTATACTTCCATTGACTTGAACCCTCATTCTAGATATGCCAGGAACCTCTAAAAGAATTGAAATTCAGAAGCAGCACCTTATTGGCAGACCAGGAAAAGGAACAATTTTGAAAGTAAAACACTTAATCTCTCTTTTTGCAACAGGGAAGAGCTATGGATATGGAAAGTTATATATTTTGTGAGACACTTAATGTGTTGGTTGCTTTTGTTAAACTGTTTTTCTTCTCTTTCTAGACCCTTTGTTACAAGGCATGGGATAAGTAGGGGAAAGGGGTATTCAGAAATAAAGACCATGTAAGTACAAACTATATCAACAAAGTTTTTTAAAATAAAGCATTTGAGATCAAAACTTTTTTTTACAATAGGAAAACTATTTCACATGCCACTCAGGAGATTAAGGTCTAAACTTCAAGCAAATGATAAGGAGTTTGAGGAGATTAAACTCATGATCAAAGAGGAGGAAGACATTGAAAAGTTTTTGTCCTGTGCCTAAAGTGAAGATTTGAAGGTTCATTGATTTCTTCATTACCTGCTGATTTTTCACTACCTCAGACATAGTAAAAAGTATTCTTTCTCTCTACTAAACTCTATTTGGTCTTGCTACTCAACAAGAAGGTTGTGCTCTATAGCAGGATTCATTCCAGAACTAAATACTGTTGTCTCCCTCCTGGTAGAGTAAGTTTCCTGGGTTCCTTTCCTCTTTAACTTCTAGGACCAGAACACAAAATTGAGAACAGCCCACAATACAGCCATTCCCACTCAACAACTCAACAGAACCATGTCCCACAAACACCTATTCAACTCTACACTCTCAGCAGCTCAGAAAAAAAAAAACCCATAAGATTCCCTAAATGCCACTTCTGGTCACTTCTCCAAGCTTTTTTCTTTCCTCCTTTCTTGAATGCCCATGATAAAGTTTTCCTGCGCCCAGGCATAGACATCTCAAGGGATTTAAATCCTAGGAATTTCAAACAGGTCCATTCTTAAGATACAGAGCTCATAAGAAATGTAATCCTATCAATCACATAGGGCTTTATATTTATATTGGACCAAAATACACCTCCCAGAAATTTCTATTCATTAGCTCTAGTTCTACTCTCTAGGGCAACATAGAATAAGCCTGGGTGAGTCTCAGAGAGAATATAATGACACTGTAGGACAATTTCACATGACACAATGCATCTGCATTCTTCTGGGAAACAGCAATAGCAGAGTAGTGTTGCATAGAGCAATTATACACAGTGGTATCATTTTAAGGAAAGCTTGTAAAGACTGACAGGCAGATACAAAGAATAGGAGGAACTATCCGTGGTGCTATACATTAAAAAACTACATGTGTACAGTAGAGAACAGAATGACAACTTGCCTCATTTTTTTCAGCTGTTCATGTCTGTCAAAATATAATCATTAGTGGTGTTATCTTGAAAAATAAAAGGCAGTAATCAGGTAAATGATTTATCAGAATATTAAAGGTGTGCTCTTCCTGAATAAAAGTGGCCCAGATTTGCCCAGAGTCTTGATGATCAGCTTCTCTCTAGGAACATAGAATGAGGTTATCACCACATCAAGGAGGGAGCCTGAGGACCCATGGAGCTTAGATCTTCACTGTTTTCTTATGGGATCATGGATTCAGAATTGAGAGGGACCTTGGAAGCCATCTAGTTCAACTCCTTCATCTTATAAACGAAGAAACTGAGACCTAGAGAATATGTGATTTCCCAAAGTCACCTAAGTGATAAATATCAGAATATGAATTTTAACCCAGTTCCTCTGATTCCAAAGCCACTTCAGTAATTAATAGATTGGAGTGTGTAGCTTGATAATATCCAAAAGAGTTTTGGAAGCAAATATTTTTCTTGAGGTATTTCAATGCAAAGCCTTGGAGCAATTTAAAACATTTGGGAAAATCGTTCTTAAAATGCTGAGGTTTGGAAGCCTGGCATCTATAGCCACATCATCAAGAAAATCATACAACACACAAAATATGGGGTGAAAAATTAGGCCTAGGAAAATCATTTGGTGACATTTTGGCAAAACTAAGGAGAAAGTAAGTAAACACAGTTTTTAGGTGATGTAATGGATACAGTTCCAGACTTGGAGTCAGAAAACCCGACTTCAAATACTGACTTAGACACTTACTAGTCTGTTGACCCTTTTTAAGTCTCTTGACCTCTTTCTGAACCTCAGTTTCTTCATCTACAAAATGAGGATAATAATCTTACCTGTCACATAGTCATTGTAAGGATCAAATAAAATAACATAGAGTGCTTTGCAAATCTTAAAGTGCTATATAAATTTTAGTCATGATCGTCATTGTTACTTTACCTCAAGAAAGTCCTTGCTTCAATGAACATCCCTCTGCTGCATCCCACAAGAGGCACATCATACAATCCATGAGGAATAAGGGATACTTTTAGAACATTCTGCAGAAGATCCCTATTCCTTCACCAAGCTCCTTACCTCCACTTTAATTGTATTCACCAAGCCACACTCTGAATATGCAGACTTTTCTTTTTTCCTTTTGGTCCCCTTGTGCTTTTCTCAGACTTTTTTCAGAAACTAGTTTGGGTTTCAGTAGCAAATCAGAATCTATACAGAAAGAATGTCAGCAGCTTGAAGGAGCTTTGCTCTACACTTTTAAGTCTAATCTCTTCCAGCCTATTGAATACTTCCATGCTCCAGCTCAGATTTGGCCTATGGACTCATGGCAATGGACAAAAGCCATATCAGTAATGAGTAGGTCAGGAAAGAAATGGATCTTATTTTTGAAAAGTGAAATCTGTGGCTAGTATATTCCCTGTGGCACAAATATCCAGATATCTACAGGAAAATTCAATTCAGCAAGAATTTATTCATGCCACTTCGTGCCAGACACTGTGTTAGTTCCTGGGCATACAAAGACAAAAATTAAATAAACACTGCCAGCTGGGAGTTCACGTTCTACTCAATATAATATGTGCACAGATAAGTGAATGCAAAGAAGACTCAGGAGGAAGAGAGGATGGCAAGTGGGGGATTGGGAAAGGTTTCTTGGAGGAGGTGGCACCTGGACTCCCTAGTGTCTGGCACAAAATATCCATTACACATAAATGTTTGTTGAATTGAATTCTCATTTGGATATCTGGCCATTTATCCTTCAAAGAATAAAAAGGCCTTAGCTAAAGTAATGATGGTGTGAGTAGAGAGGGGATCTAATGCAAGAGATATTGATATATCTCCTGTCGCCTGGCCCATGTGTCTCAAATGCACTTCCTTCCTTTTCAAAGGCCAGTGAAACTTCATGCTTTGCTATATCACATTTATCCCTTTTTCCTAGTTTTATTCTGCCAATATTGAATATAATCTTCCCTCATTAAAGACCTTGGAGCAGGTTACAACCTTCGTGGGCCCCAACTAATTCATTTGTAAAATGGAAGTGTTGGACTAGATCAGTGGCATCAAACTCAAATAGAAACATACCCCTATGGGCTGCACATTGATTTCAAAAACACAAATTAACATTATCTATGGTTTATTGTATTTTTAAGCATTTCACAATTACATTTTATTCTGGTTCTGTCTACACAGCATTCAGCCTGCAGGCCATGAGTTTGAAAGTTCTGGTCTAGATGACTTCTAAGGTTCATCCCTTCCAGATTTAGATCCATAATCCTGTGATCTAAGTATAGATCATGAACACGTCCTTCCTGGAATCCTACTATATCACCTACTTCAAGACCACTTCCCAAAACTCCCAATAACATTGATAAGCCAGGTCCCTAGAGGGTCTCCTTCCTCTTACTACAAGCCTAATTGGGTCTATTGATTAATTGGTTAAGGTGAGGGATGTCAAATCCCTCATTACATTACCATCAACCCCCAATTCACATGCACATGTGTATGTACACATGCATACACACACAAAACACAAACACAAACACACACTATTGTCTCCATTCTCCAAGTAATATTTCCCATCAGGCGTTTTTAAAACCTCCACTTATTATCTTTTCCCTTAATCTCTGCTCTCCTTTTTAATTTTCCTACATTCCCCCCTCTTTTCTGGTCAACTGGAGCTTTGCATTAACCTCTGCATCCTACCTCAGAATAGTCTCTCTCTCCACCCCCTCCCCACACTCATCCACCATCCTACATAAAAAATTGTATTGAAACCTCAACATAAAAACTCTACCAATACTGATAAGCAATTTCTAGTTTTCAAGGACTGTCTGGGGCCCTGAAAGAAGTTAAGTGATTTATCCAGAGTCACACATTCACTTTGTCAGAGGCAAGATTTGAAACCAGGACTTCCTGACTCAGAAGCCAGTTTCCTATCCACCTCTTCTCTTTGTATGATCATGCCTTTTAAATATGAAGGTGATGACATTGGTTCATTCTTGATCAGTAGTAGGGTATCTGCTTTCTATTGTTTTTTTTTCTAAGAATGATAGCTCGGTTTGCTCTGAACCATTCCACATTGTCTTCCTTAATCGTCCTTGTAGCTACTGGCAACCACATTAAAGATGTCTGAAATAGGATTGCTCTCTGACCATAGCTAACTGGCCCACTCTGGTACTGGAGCTGGTAATCACAGAATCACAGAATCACAGGAATGGAAGATATCTCAGAGGTCATCCAGTCCAAACTATGTCTAAACAAAAGTCTCTGACAAGTGGTAATCCAGTCTCTTCTCAATGGCCTTCACTCATATGGAATTCATTATCATTTCAAACCAATCTATTACACTTTGGGACAGCACTAAGATCAAGGAAATTTTTTCCTGACATCAAGCCCAAATTTGCCTCTTTACAACCCCCACCCACTTTTCCTAATTCTGCTTTCTGGATTCAAGTCTAGTCCCTTTTCTAGAGGCTAGCTGATGCATCATTACCACAGTGCTCTGTCAGGGGTATTTTGGAGCCAGCTTTAGCTGGCTTATGACATCCAGTTGTTAAATTTTCAATTTGAGCATTTACTTATACCTCAGAATTGGGCAAATACTACAAATACAACTTGATTTACTTTTTGTGATTGTCGAGACTTAAGAAAGTAATGGCGAAAATGGTAATGATACTGATTAAAATTAAATGTGTTTTCTCTGGAGTTATTTGTTAAACATTTACCAGGACACCACAGACCCCAATCCATTAAGCTAACTATCCCAAGATTAAAATATTGTGAGACTACACATGTATGCACATCATGCACTCATATGGGGGTGGGTAGAGATAAATAGATAGATATTATTATTATTTCTTTCCACATATAACAGTGTTTTTTAGCCACTCTTCTAGGCTGGTTAGCTAAAGAGATCAGAGTATTATATAAATGATCTAGTCTAAAATATCTAGTCTAGAAGACAGAATAGATGTGTTCTGCTTGGCCCCAAAAAGCAGAACGAAGAGGAATGGATAGAAATTGTAAAGAGGTGGATTTACACTTGACATTAGGAAATACTTCCCAATAATCATTGTTGTCCAAAAGTGGAATGGGCTGTCTCAGGAGACAGTGGTTTCTCCATCAATGACAATATTCAAGCATAGATCAGATGACCACTTGTCACAAAT